TATGTGTGCTCTCTGGCTGTTTGGGAGGAAGACTGCTACAAGCCTTGCATATCTGAATATTTGTGATGTACGCATTATGACATCATCTCAAAACATATTGCTGGCAGTAATGGAAGTTTGTAGAAAGTATGGAAGTTTGTTTACATTGTTTTAATTTTTCTGATTTCTCCACTAAACTTGGGGATTCTCTTGCCTAGCACTCTTGGTGATGTTTCACGTGTATGCTGTCCCTGAAGACACAATGACGAATATCTCTAATAGGCAGAGCGAGAGAAGTGCCAGTAATATTTACAGTATCTTTACAATACCAGGCGACGTGTAGGTTGCCTATTCACCGCTAATCTCCCTAATATCCAAGAGTTAAATCAGAAGAGGGCAGTAAAGGAAAATTACATGGGAGAAGAAACAATGGGAAAAATATAATTCCCTAAAGAAAAATAGCAGAGCAAGGAAAAAAAAACCCCACATGCCTGACTTCCCTCCAGTCTAGGAGTGTTTACTGTTCCCAGGGATTGAAGTCCAAGAGAATGCTTGAACCTCACAAATTCTCATCCCAGGAATAAGAAGTGGGTTGTCAGCAAATGGAAGCTGATATCCACATCCAGAGAGAAGTGGTGAGAGAGACAGACGCAGCGAGTATAACAGCTTGTTAATTCTGAGGTGGGTGGAAATGGGTCTCCTGGGGCTAAGGGTGGTAGAGACTAAGCCAGGGCAAGGAGATGTACATCTACAGACATCAGTCACCATGTGAGTGCGCTTACCCAAATATCCTGTACCTTTCAGGGAAATGAATTACCAGTGCTGTGTTTCATGGCATCAGTTTGGGATTACATTGTCAACTTGGCTGGGTACCTAGAGCCCTTCTGGTATGTGATTTGGTTACTTGTTTTCACCTGGGCGGGAATGCAGGGAGCCATACCTGTCACCTGCCAGCGCAGTCCAAAGAGACGAAAGAGGCGTTGTTGCCCTAGGACACGTACCCATATGAAATTAAATCCTGTGTAAATGATGTACTTAAAGCACTGTGAATATTTCGGTGGCAACTGATTCAAATTCTAAAAGAGTTGGTAATTTCTTTTGAAAAATTAAATTGTAATCGAGACAAGAGAGTTATTTACTGAGTTACAAGTCATATTCAGATATAAATTTTTTCAAAAGTAAAACAATAATCATTATTATTATTATTATTATTAAAATGGCATTGCTGCATCATAATCCCTCATAAACACGGTGCTGTTTGATTTATAAAGAACTTCATGTAGTTGCCTGTATTCCAACTAATAAGCATTTGAACAGAAAGAGGAAGATTTTAATGAGAGCATTTCTACTGTAATCAAAGTTCCACTTTTTACCTCTGGAGAGTATAAAAAATACCAGGTTCAGGTTTTTTTTTTTTTACTTTTGCTACTGTACAGCTTCCAGCAGCCTCAGGTTGTTCTGACCTTTGTGAACCCAGGCTTGTCTGGGTGTCATTCTTGTTAGGATGCAGGAGAGGTTCATTGGTCCATCAGAAAGGTCTCTGTAAGGACTTTTCTTTAAATAAATGTAGGCTTTGTTCAGGTAACGTCTCATTTACATTGTGACTTCCCTGGCTGTATGGCTGTCGTGGTTTAACCCGGCTGGCAACTAAGCACCACGCAGCCGCTCGCTCACTCCCCCCCTCCCTCTGTGGGATGGGGGAGAGAATAGGAGAAAAGAAGAAAAAAAAAGTAAGACCCGTGGGTTGAGATAGAGACAGTTTAATAAGAGAGAAGAATAACAATAGTAA